TTTTTTATTTTCTTTGATCTGTGAAAAATTCTGAGAGTGAATTGCCATGGTTTTATAAACGTCGAAAGAAAAGCGTACGCGGAGGGGTAGTTTCGGAATTTAGTCAGAAGCGCGAAAATATTGCAAAAGACACACGTGTGCGCGCTTTACTTCTCAGTTGGTTGCATTGAATCCTTTTCTGTCGGAGACTTTATAGAAAAAACACAACATTTTAGGAATTAATAAAATAAAATTCAAATTTATTATTAATGGAATTAAAAAAATTAATTTCAATATTATTTTGGGAAAATTACAGCAGCGATCCCAAACTTTTGAGTTTTTAGCAAACTTTACATCAACCTTCAATTTGTACCACTAGAGATCCCACATCTTTGAAAAATTAGCACTCGGGTCGCCGTTAATTGACCAAAACCTGTCTTTTGACCAAATCTAAAGAGGACAAAATAGTTAATTCGTTATTATTGCACATAAAATAATTAAAACCAAAAAATTAAAAAATAAAAGGAAAAATAGAACTGTTCATCTTCCTCAACCTACTCCACGCCACCCCAAATCCCATCCCCCCAACCCAACACAATCCAACTCTTAGAATGTGGCGGTAGCTGGAGAGCACCATTGCGCCCTCTATTAAGCCTAAACGGCAACAGGCTTGTCCCAAAACCAAGTATTGAAAGGAATTTTTTTGACAAAAGGGAATCAGATTCAATTGGACTATTTGAAGCACAATTAAGTAGCAGTGCATATCAGCTTCTGGGCATGGCAGACTTAGCCTTTTTACCCAAGTTTTTCTCGTGTCGGTCAATATGGTTCAAACCTCCATGGGTGGGAATATTGTTATCAATAGTCGTTGCATTGGGTGTTTCTTATATGAGTTACATAGATATCATATCTTCTGCAGATTTCTTGTATAGTTTGGGTATGCTATTGGAATTTGCATCTTTTCTTTGGCTGAGAAGAAAATTCCCCACAATGAAAAGGCCTTACAGGGTGCCATTGAAGCAGCCAACCGTGGTGCTTATGTGCTTAATTCCGACTGCATTTTTGGTGGTTATAATGGCTATAGCAACCAGCAAACTCTTTCACAACGAAATGCCCGTGGAAACTGACGACAAAGATGAGTGGTGGTGGATGTGGAAGAAGGCAGCCACGGTGCCGATTGATTTGGTTTTGAGGAAGAAGAACAGTTCTATGTTCCTTTTAATTTTAAAATTTTTTTGGTTTTAATTATTTTATGTGGAATAATGACGAATTTACTATTTTGCCTTCTTTAGATTTGGTCAAAAGACTTTTTTTTAGTCAACTATCAATTTGGACCCCCAAGTGCTAATTTTTCAAAGGTTTGGGACCGCTACTGCAATTTTTCCTATTATTCTTGTATTCGTTGATGACAGGATTTTTTTAATTAATATTGCTAAATTAAGATCAAGTCTTCACTAAACGTATGTATAGCATATTTGATAGGCAATAATGACCAAAATAAAATATGACTGAGACAAAGAAATTCTTATTCTTTAATATCAACAAATTTTATTTTGTTTCTAAGTAACCACCGATATTGGCCT